ATTTACGCTTTCAGAAAATAGAGATCTTGCAATTTTCACTTTCAGCAATGTTGTGTTGGTGGCGTTGAAGTTTTCTTTGCATAAGAAGCAATTTTAGCTTTTCTTGCAGTCTAAGAACTTTTGATTAATTTCAACCGACTTAAAGCACGCAACCAATCTGTCCACCGCCTCACAAGCGCTTCATACCTAGCGATAATCTAGGCATCGATGACACCTAATAATCACTCATCTTTTCCGGAATGAATACATGATGAATTTTATCTTTGTGACCCAAATTTTCCTAACCATCCGTCTCTTCTTGAATGATGACTACGATTGGGAGGATTATCCTTTGTTTTTAGGTTTCTAGAACCGTCATGTGCTTTCCGGCATCTTAAGAAGTGTTTTCAGCATTTACTGGACTTCTTTATTCTGGGTAAGATAATTCAAGTAGCGGATCTCAAATGTTATTCCTTGATCCTTCGACTGCTTCTTATCTTTGTTAAACAACATTTTGGTGACTTCTATGATGCAAATCTTTTTCTTCAGAACCAGCTTTTATTTCAGTGAGATCTCCCTTTCTTATACCATAGGTGCCAGTGTATACCCTGTTAAAAAAATGTTCAATTTTTTTATATTCTTTACAGTCTTGTTAACTTTCTTTTGGGACCTTAACCCTAGAACAGAAATATTATTCTTTTAACCTATTAACGAAAAACTGGGGTGGTTTGGCGTCAGATTTGAAACATTTATAAAGGGTTTCTATTTTACTAAAAAGAGGTTTAGTATCGTGAATTTTCATTGTTTTCCTGTAAGGAAAATGATGGTATTCAACAGAAGAGTACATCCACTAGTTGATTTTGCGAATTCGTCATTGGATAAGGGAATTCAATTTCAGGAATCGTTTCCTTGTCTCCTCGTTGCATCAGCGTTTATCTTGATCGAATCCCCCAAGAGATTCAGCAGTGCTCATTACGGTTCAGTATTTAGTGATATTTTCAATGAATCCATTTTCAGTGCAAATGAATAAATTATTTGTACCTATTTCCTAAAACATAAAAGCAATTAACAAACTGTTTTAAAAATGTAGATTTTGACCAATTATTTTATAAATTTATTTAGCTAAAAATAAATCATTAAGAATTGAGAATAAACATTCTGCAATCAACGAAATTTCGATTTAATCAAAAGCAGTTGGTATTTTTTATCTGCAACGATTTTTTTATTCCCGTAAAGCTATTTTTAGAAAAAAAAATATTCCATATTCCTCTTGAAACTCATTTTTAAAACAACAAAACAATTCTCCGAAAATGTTCTTCTGCAATGAATGGCACGTTTCAGAGAACAATCAAGTGCACTACCAGTAAATTGAAAGGTAAAGTTATTAAATGGGTCAGCAGTTTTATTATATACATACATATATCTATATTTATGTTTTATATATATATAAGTTATAAAAAAAATTAATTGTATGACATTTTTTATTAAAGTAGAATAAAAGTTCTGGATATAAATCATACTGTAATAGTTTGTATTTTATACGCGTGTCCATATAGTAAATCGGTTTAATGGGGATTGGCGCTATTGTGGCTTTAAACTCCCCTAATAATGCACTACTACTTGTGCGATCGAGATATATTCCAATTTCAACAAATTTTCATCTCAATAGTCTTTCATTCATCATAAATGTGTCATCTATTGATAATTTGAATAATTTTCGATTATTTTTTTCTTTTACAAGAAAATATTTTTTGATCATTTAATAAAAATTATTAAGAAATTGCTTTTAAATTAAACTATCTCAGCCGTCGTCGATTTATTAAAAAATTAAAAATTTATAAAGTTATGTGTTCTTGAAAATAAAAAGGAATTCTTTTTTTATAAACTGCTATAGAGCAAAATCATTATTTGCTACAAAATTTGATATTAAATTTTCTTTTGTGAATAAATATTTTAATTGCGCAAACAATAATGAATGAAATAATTGTTAACTAAAGTAGAGACAATTAATTTGTGCGTCCATGAGAGCGAGTGATTATAATAAAATTACTCGACTATTTATATCAATCATTACATTACTTTTATATACATGTGAAGTTGAATATAATATTTAACGTATCGGAATTTATATCTGACAAAACAAATTTATTGTTTTATTCTAATAAACCAAAGAGGGATATTTTGAAGTCAAACAAAAGCTGATGTTATATGTATCAATATTTTTGTTTAGTTATATACCATTTATCTTTTGAAATTTTTTTACTATTTTTTAAAATATTTCGTGTAATTAATCATTGTATATATATTAGAAAAGAAATGTAATCATTTTTTGCAATAAAAAAAAATTTGTATTGTTAGATATTCTCATTGTTTCTTTATATATAAATTACTTTTGCACAATAGTCAATTATAGCTTTAGTCAGTTTTTTCAATTTGTTTCTTTATTTAGAGAAAAAAAGAAAAAATTCCGTTTATTAACGATGTAAATGAAAACAATCCAATTAGCAAGGCGCTCTCTACTTTTCACATCACATTACAAGCAAATCACATTTGAAATACCTGTTCGCAACTTCTGACTGTGATTGTATTTGTGAAATGATGAGAGAGAAATTTTTCAATTATATTTATCAATCATCACTTTGATGGGTTAATTTTGTTTCGTCTCTCAAATTGACAGATAAAAAAATAATATAATTCCATTATCTATTTATATTGCGTTGATGTTTTTGAAATATATGCCCAAATCGGGCCAAACGGTTTTTTTTTTATAAATATTCCATATGAAAAACTTTAAATATGTTTGTCACGAAAAATATTACAAATATCAAGATTATCAACAATGAAGTAACTGTTAACTTTTAATAAAATATTTATTAAAAAATAATCACACTAACAAAACTTTAATTCCAAAGGATACTAACTTTTGAAATGTTGTCCTATCATTTTAATTTAATATATTAATTTACACTTCCTTATATGAACGTTTTTCGTTGTGTTTACCTACTGGATGTGCAAGGAGAAAGCTCATAATCCGATTAAACGAGCGACCCTGGCGGTTATTAAGATAGGTCCTCCGGGACTAGCTCAGCATTTTGTCTTTTGAGGTTTTCATAAAATAATTTTTTTATATCTACCCGACAACAAGCGTCTAATTAATAAAGTATTTGGTAAAAGTAAATTAAGAAAAGAATATATTTTTATAAATTAAATTATTTTATTCATAAGGAAATAATTATCACACTTTACTGTGATGGATTAGGGATAAATGGTGTCTTACCACAAGAAGCTCCTGTCATGTACGTTAGAATTAACCGCTAAATGGTCCGAGTGACATGGGATTGGTGACATTTTAGAGAAGATGAAACTGTAGATGATTATTGATTTAAAAACCGCATTTTGATGAATAATAATTAAATTTTGTACTAGAGTAACTAATTTTTTATGAAAAGAATGTTTGTACGAAAATTTCATAAGATTATTTCAGACTCGAATAGTTTTTGCATAGATTTCATATTTGCGAAGGAATTTCTCAATTGCCAGTTTACCTACTTGTTTTTGTATGTTTTTAATAAAAGTTTCTAAAACGCTTTTGAATATAGGACCGAAACCTAATATATAGATATGATAGTTGCACGCATCTCGCTTTTACGCTTTTATAAAAATCGAAAAAGTTTCTCTATTTTCTCTCATCCCCTAAGCAAACGTTGTTTCTTTACTTCATCTTTCCTTTCTCTTTAAACCACCATTTACATTTTCATCAACTTTGCTTTTTCGCCCGATTACTTTTTTCCATTTTCTATACAAAATTTAACCATGTGGAAATTACTTTACTAATCCTTTTCTTTGCACTTGTGAAATCTATAAAGAAAAATGATATTCTGGTGGTAAATTTAATCGTGTCAGAATATGAAGACCCACAAAAAATCCTGATGTTAGGCTAAAATGGTTAATAATTTTTAAATAAACTAAAAAAAACGATCTTACGATGCTATAATTGCAGATGATGGAGGATTAAAGCAATCGATAAAAGCAGTTTAGAATTAAAGGGATCTCGATTTATATTATTCGTTATTCACTTTTATTTACAAAATATATAAAGATCATAGCAGGATAAATAAATTGAGAATAATATTTATATTCCATTGTAAAAATGATGAAACATTTAGTTGGTAAATATTGATAAAACGAGCACAATTGCTATCAGATCATATCTTTATTTTCCTTGAAATATTATTACAAGCAAATATCAGGAAAAGCAATTTTTGTTCGGTAAACTTTAAGTAAATCTATTTCACCTTTGAAATTTCTCATCCATTTTTTTTGCGTTTTTTCTTTAAAGATATATTACTATCCTATCTTCTTTTATACCTTTTGCGCCAGGAGATTCAAATAAAGCGATTGAGACACCTTTTTGCATTTTTCCAGCAAAATCACCCTATCTCTTTCCCGCTCATTTTTTTTTTTTTTTTTTTTTTTTTTGATCTCACTCACGTTTCCTCATTTTCTGTCGGTTTCTCGCCAGATTCAAGCTCGCGAATCGAGCCGTTAAAGCGTTAATTTCCTCGAGCTAAAAATCGCTACGAATTCCCGCCTTCGCCATTTCCCTTCCCATTGCAAACCATGTACCACTATATATCCCTCTGATTTCTCTCAAATTTTTCGACCTAAAACCTAGCCAACTTGGCGCAATTTTACCCCTAAATGGAAACTTTAACTCTTTCGTTTTTTTTCTATCATAAGCCCAAAAATCGAGGTGGATTTTTTATTTCGATAAGCTGACCTTTTGTGCTTGATTTAATTTTTTTTGTTTTGTCATTTCTACAAAAAGTCTTTAGTTCCACAAAAATATTTAAAATAATTACTTCAAATTGAATTTAATTAGTGTTTGAAAAATATAATTTGCTTTAATAATGTTACGTCGCAGAAAGAGGCCAGTACTGGTATGATAAATTGTGTGCCTAATTTAATTACAAAGCGGAAGACTTTGGAGAACTAAGGTAGCAGGCTAAGAAAACTAATGCTTCAGATATAATAATTTGTCCTTTATTTATTCTTTACATTATACAGTCTTTCGTCGAAATTGTCAGGTAGGCACTTTTCCCTTGAGGTTGGATTAACTCCACTAAAAGCAGAATTAATCCTTAGTTTAAGAAGTAAAAGAATATTATATGAGAAATAGGTTGAATTCTCTGATAAGAGAAATAGTCGAACTCTATGATTTCAAAGGAAAGAGTAGATCCAAATGTCATGTCTTCAGGGATACTGAAACAAATACGGACTTTGTAGAATCAATCGAGAATTTAGATAGGGAGTAATTTTAAAAGTATTAGTTACTTACTTTTAAATATTATTATTAGAGAAGAAGACCCAACAGGCGATACCTCCTTCAGTGTGAGGTCGAAGCAATGACGTTGTCTAGCGGAAACTGAATATGAAGTAGATTCCTTCGAATTGTTTTCGGGCCAGCCAAAGTGGAAGGTCCGGAGTCCAGGTGTCGAATTATTGATTTGATGTTGAAGTCGAAATAATGCAGTCCTTAGTAAAATAGAAATGTGCCTCGAATTAGGAATTATCTCCTCGTATGAATTTTCCTTGACTGAATTTGATTGAGACTTGAAGAATGCACTTGGTACTTGAAGAGATTTTTAGAACTGGAGTCGTAGAATAAACTCGATGACAATACACGACTTCTTAACTTGGTGGCGATTTCTGGACTAACGAAGAACGCGGGTTTCTTTACAATTAGAATGAGAGAAAAAAAGTAGATCCAGATGTCTTCAGGTACACTGAAACAAAATTAGAACTTTGTGGAATCAAAGAGAATCTAAATTGGGACAAAATTTAATGTATTAGTTATTAACCACTTAAAATTATTGTTAGAGTCGTAGACCCAGCAAGCGATATCTCCATCAGTGTGAGGTCGAGGAAATGACCTTGACTAGCAGAAACAGAGAATGCAGTAGAAGATTTCCCTCAAATTGCTTTAGGGCAAGACAAAGTAAAAGGTCATGAGGCCAGGTGTCAATGCAAATTAGATTAAACATCCCTCAGCCTTGGAGTAATCAAATTATTTATTTAGTGTTGATATCGTTGTAATGCAGTCCTTAGAAAAACAGAAATTTGCATCGTAGTAGAAATTATCCCCTTGAATGAACTTGACAAAAAGAGACTTGATGAAGATACTTGATACTTGAAGAGATTTTGTGGACTGGAGTCGAAGAACAAATTCGATGTCAGTACACAACTAGTTGACTTGGTGATGGTTACTAGACTGACACGAAGAACACAGACGGTGATTTCTTGTCTAGTTAACTTGAAGACGTTTCCCCTCTTGCAAGGGGATACTACGTCATACCACCTATTTTTATTTCTTTCCGGGTTAGTTTTTACCTATTAATTTAATTTGGGCGCGTGTGCTTAGTTCATGTAGGTATTAGGTAGTTGAGTGAACCTACTTAGTAGACAATACGTTGGCAATTGATTGATGAATAGTTAACAAATTATCGACTATAATTTAACAATAATAAGTTAACAACTGATTGGCAATAAGTTATCAATCACTTAACATTTGGTGAGATTTGGGGATACTGCTTGCTAACAGGATTATTAAGATTCTTATACTTAATTTAAGGCTGATTGTTCAGCTAGTATGCTTAGCTCCCAAAAAACAAGGAAAACAACAAATGCGAAGAATTACTAATCTAAATAGCGAAACTCGAGTTTCTTAATTACATAGTGCAACAGCATTTTTATTTTTGAGATTGAATAGGGTGATTCTGATAGGTCTTTTGATGCTGTTTTTTATCACACTACAAAAATTTTTTCTGGAGTTTTCATGATATGTGTTCGAAAGCTCATATCCTCATCAGTAATCTCCAATTAAAATAATTTCAAGCTCCCGTTGCATCGTCTCACGTGCTTGAACTTAATCGTCACTGAAAATAAAAAGGTCTAATAAGTTTCCTGCATTTTTTACACTAGAAAACTAAACCAAGGTAAGGAATTCCTAAGGGAATTCCTACCCTGGATCTTAAACAGTCTCATTTTAAAAAACTTTGATCAACTTTTGGAATTGGTTTTCATCTGCGTCCATTTCTGATTGAAGGGTATCTTAACTGACACAAAAATGAAATAAAAGAAATTTTTTAATTTTAGAAATAAACCAACTCTGCTCTGAAAAATATTCAATCCTAAACGTTTTAACATTTTGATCACTATACTTTGGATTTTTTCTAAAAGCGGATTTAAATCGAAAAGTTTATTTTTTAAAAGACGGGAAAAAATGGAGGTCTTTAGCACAGTCAATAAATTCCTTTACACACAGATGCACCAACAACCTATAATTTCCAACAGAGATATTTTGATGTTTCCATTATTGATTCTGTTGCACAGAAAAAGAGTCATTTAGTAATCGTGTGTTTTAAATTCTTGTGCTGTGAACAACTTTAGATTAAGTTAACAACAATTCACATGGAAAAAAGTATTTTAAAATAGACTTTTTCTATCACGTTCGGCTAAAAGTTTACTTTTATTAAAATTTTAGACTGGACATAGTAGACAAACATTTAAATTTATCATAAGGAATAAATAATGTATTAAAATTGGAAAAATTCCAGCTGGAACAATAAGAATAATGTAACCAATTGAAGTGTTTTCAAGTCTTGGAAGAATTTTTTATACGATACTTTTCTGGAACGATTGTTCTTTATGATTATGAAAGACATTAACATAATCGCAGTAACATAATTACATTAGAGTAACTGATTTACAACTAGTTCTCCTTGCCAGGATTTAAAAATCTAGTAAAGTACGCTTCGTTCAAAAACGATTATTTTACGAAGGAAGTAGAAATAAAATCTACTATCAGATACCAAGGAGTCTTTACTGCAAGGCTATTTGTGAATGACCACTTTTTTCTAGGTCAACCCACTAAAAACCACTCACTTTAGTTGAACTATTCTTCATCCTTCAATTTAAAACTTGAAGGTAATTACCTTTTGAATTTAAACTTTGTAGGTGAAGATGCCTAGAGTCTCGCTTTCACGACCATGCCTTTGCCAATTCTACCAGTTTTTTTTTATTGTCTTCTAAAGAGTTTTATTCTTGCTTCCTAAAGCGCTGACCTGAAGACCTTACAAACTTCAATTTCTGTAATGTTTGTGGATTTGAACTTTTCTTTACATAAGAAACAAATTGGCATGAGGACACAGATGTTCTTAAAGACAACTTTAGGATATCTTTTGGACAGTAGTTATGATTACACATGTTTACCATAATCTTGGAGTGCGTAATCCAAGATATCTGTATGTAGATTTCCCAAAAGTTTCTATGCAAAAAAATCTAGTTTCCCTCACTTATGTTACTTTATATTTTTTTTTACAAATATTTCTTTCGAAGGTTTAATTATCGCCTCATTAATGACTGCACCTTAGGTCTACAACTTGCACCTCTATTATTACAGTCGATAAGTTTGTTTATTTACTAAAAGCATCATTCAAATGTTTTGTAACCAAATCAGTAACAACTTATCTGTTTTATATTTTTATTTTTATTTTAATTTCTTTCGAGAAATTAGCAGTATATACAGTTTCTATTTGGTAGTAAAATCTTAGAAAGGCAAATATTCTTCTCTCCTTTTGCGTTTGTAGACTAGGAAATTAAATTTTACATTCTCCTTCGTTGCACACTTAGAAGGCCTCCGCGTTTCTGTTTTATTTTTCGACTTCTTTTACTTGCTTTTCTTAAAACTTTTTCAAGAAAGGTGCTAAATAGGAACCACTTCAAGTGGTTGCACTAGGGGAAGTCTTCAAAGATGCTTTAACTGCTCCCTTAACATTTGAACAAAAAGGAATATCTCACTGCACCTTTAGTGCAGTGAGATATAACTCTAAAGCTTTCTTAACTTTAGAGAAATAATATTAAGAGAAAATATAACCTATCAAATTAAAATACTTTATTTCAATATAAAGGTTAATTTTCGCATTATAATGTTTTAAATTTACAATTACTTCTTTACGATTTATTAACTAATTTGTATTAATTTCTTCTGTTTTAGGTAAGTTTGGCTTTGGAAAAATATGAAATCATATCTGATGAATCGGTAACGTATGATACTTTTTATCGTAATTTGATTAGGATTTAAATGGTTTTTTGTGGTTTTGTTGCAAATGATCAAAAAAGAGGCAGTCACGTCTTATAGCGCAAGCCTTCCTGAGGCTTTTAAAAGAAAAAACGTTAAAATCCGTTAAGATTTGACTTTTCAACAGATGCGTGTTAAATTGAAATGAAATTATTAAAGTTTTTACTGGAATTCTTCACAATTAGAATCAGAGAGAAAGAGTTGATCCAGATGTCTTCAGGGACACTGAAACAAAATTAGAACTTTGTGGAATCAATCGAGAATTTAAATGGGGACTAAATTTAAAAGTATTAGTTACTTACCTTTAATAATTATTCTTAGTCGTAGACCCAACAAGTGATAACTCCTAGCGGAAACAGAGAGTGCAGTAGATTTCCCTCAAATTCTTTTCGGGCCAGCCAAAGTGAAAGGTCCGGAGTCCAGGTGTCGATGTAAATTAAATAAAACCTCTTTCAGCCTAGGAGTGACCAAATTATTGATTTGACGTTGATGTCGAGGTAATACAGTCAATAGAAATGCGTCTCGTAGTAGAAATTTTTTCCTTGAATGCAGTTAACTAAGATGATACCCGAAGAATGCACTTGGTACTTGAAGAGATTTTCTGGACTGGAGTCGAAGAACAAACTCGATGACAGTACCCAACAAGTTAACTTGATCTTTGTTACTGGACTGACACGAAGAAGTCACGAAGTTGATTCGGCGGTGACTTCTGGACTAGTTAACTTGAAGGCGTTTTCTGGACTGACTAATTCGGCAAGGTTGGTATACCTTTTATAGGTTCCTTCTGCAAAGGGAACTACGTCATACTATCAACTTTTATCACCTTTGGGTCAATGTGATAAAAATTTTATTACATATAAGTGAGGAACCAATAGAAGAATAACAAAATACAGATGACCATATTTGGCATCTGCTATCCAGACAAAGACTTCTGATCAATACTTTCTTTGATTAGAAGAAAATAAGGATTCAGATTCGAACTTTAAAAAATATTATTTTATAAATATAAAATACTTCGCGATAACGTGCCAATACCATCACATCCCTGAGATTCCGTCTTAATGTTTTGTGAAGCATCTGTAACGCCTCGAAGCCTGCCAGCATTGTAGTCATCACGTTTATTCTTTACCAAAAATTTGACTCTATTCCTGAGATTTTTATACCTTTTTTTAATTCAGACAACACCTACCCTCTCTCATGCTCTGAATGTGGAATCCCTTTTTTAGCGAATATTTTTTATTTCAACATTCATCCATGGACAAACGTTTATTGTCTTTGGTGCATAAATACACACACAGGAATACAATAAATAAACTATTGAATTAGATAATTGAGAGAGTAAATAATAAGGAGGACGAAAGGGATCCTAGTAAAATAGTAGAGAATTATAACTGATTAAATATACGACTGAACATTTGCATATTTATTCGACGATTCAAAAAAAAAACTTCTGAGTACTCTCGTTAATATATGAGAGTTTATATTTCCTAGTGCGCGCACCACAAGAAAATGATAAGTTTTTTTGCGTGAGGGCAAAGAGAGAAGAAATCGAGAGTTCTTTGGTTTCGAAGCTTGCAAACAACTCTCGACGCAGGAAGGAAGTTAGAAATGAATTCTTTCTTTTTCCCATAGTCGAAAACTTTATCGAATTGCCCTTCGCGCTGTGGCATCGCTTTCGTTTTGAAAGTAACTCCGCATAAAAGTGAAGTGGTGTGCCTTCCTCACGTTCATAGTTCGTTCAGTTCAGTTACTTCATCTTCCAGTTGGCAAGCAGAAATACGGAATCTCTTCTCTTTCCTTTTTGCCCTTTTCTCATCACCCACTCTCGATTTCTCGAATCTAGAATCCCTCTCTCTCTCTGTCTCTCTTTCTTTTACTCTATGCTTTAAAAAAAACTTTATGGAATCTCGCCCAAAAGTGTTCGCAACAGCTGGAGCAACGGACGCGGTAAGTTGTCGCGACTCAGAAGCGATGTGCGCGCTGAAACGGAAACGAAATGAAGAAAAAAAAATGTGTCCCCGATTTACGAATATTCGTGTCTCCAGGACAGAAAAACTCTATAACGAAAGAGTGAGAGAGAAAGAGGAAGGATTGGTTTCTTCTTTGCTTTTCTTCTTGAGCTTCGTTGAAATGCAAAATCTCTTATGCAAAAATATCTTTGCAGGATTTTTCCTCATTTTTCCAACATTCCAACATTTAAAATTCATGAAAACTGGGCAAAAATGTATATTAAGAAATAACATTTAAGTAAATTCCTTCTAAATTTATTATTTGAATTACTTTATGTTATTTTACTAAAAATTAATTGATTTCTTGATGAATTCAAAAAGACGAGAAAAAATAAATTGAAATCTTTTTTATAAGAAACTTAAAATACAATTTCCTCTTTAGAATTTTATCCTCACATGGTTTAATGTCACTCAACTGGTGAAAAGATTCTCAGTAGCAAAAAAAAAGTCAAATCTTGATCTCATTCAACGTCGATTTATAGTCACATTAAATTCCATTCTATCTGTTGAGAGTTTTTCACTGCTAAAAGTGAGAAATCAATTTTAGACAGATAGAGAGAGAAAAATGATTAAATTCTCATCAGTATCTTCTTTTTGCAAAACAAACCTTTAACTATAGACAATGATTTGATTATATTTACAGTGAACGTGATTTAATTTCTCAGAATGACATATATTCAAATCGTACATATATATATATATATATATATATATATATATATATATATATATATATATATATATATATATGTTTCGCGTAAAATCTCTATTAAACAACAAATTGAGAACAGTTGAGAGAAATACAATATTAAATAATCTCTGTAGAATTGAGTATATATTCGCCAAATATGAATACCATGTGAAATCATGCAGAAATGAAGTGTTTCACGTAGTTGTCATATGTGTGAGTTACTGCGGACCTCATTCTCCTTTATATTCTTCAATTTCATTCGAATTCTACTGGAGTATTCCATTTAGTTAGAGTAGAAAAAAATAATTTCCTTTTCACAATTTCTGCTTATTACTTCAACACATTTTTCTCATTAAATGCGTCCATAAAAAAACTTAATCACTTTTGTTTCATTCTCTCGTTTCTGTTATAGCAAATTCACAGTCTATTATTTCAAACAAAAAAAGGGGGAAATACATTTCTTTCGACGAATTTCCTTTTTAATAACTAAATGAAATTTTAAAATTAATAAAAGATTTGTTATCTTTTATTATTTTTTGTTTGTAAGTGTTATTGACGTCAAAGATGTCGCAATTCTTATTTTTAGAATAATGACTTTTAAATAAATTGTGTGACTACAAAATTTTGTTTGCAATCATCTTATAAAGCCTATGGCTTATCAAGATAACTATTAATATCTGATAAAAATACCGCGAAGAAAAATTTAGTATGACGATTGTAAAATAAATTTTTTGTCTAAATTTATTATCATGTAAATAACCAACTTGATAATTTAATAAAACAAACTTTTTAAATACATAAATTGCTACTTTTTGGTTTCTGTTAATTATTTTTTAGAGAGTAACTTTTACCGCCGTTTTGTTGTTTTAACGAGAGCGCTTCTACATTTAGACAAAGGATAAAAAAAAAACTAACTGTCCGTAGAGTCGAGATCAAACAGTACATATGCTATTTGGTGCAGATGCATCGAATAGATTCAATCTATAAATATAAACCATTGAATCCATTTTAGTCTTGATATTTCAACTCTTTTTACTGAATACCAATATATAGTAACAGATACTGTACGCGTGGTTTTCATAACGACAATCTTTTTTTTGTTAAACTATCCGTTGCACTCTATTTTTTTTATCATTTCCTGTATGCGAGTAAAAATCCAACGCACGTAGAATTTAGTTTTTTTAATTATTTTCTTGGTGTTAGCAATATTGATATTTGTCTCTGTATTTAGCAAGTTTCGTTTATTAACGTTAGGGTACTTTTCTATTGATTTAAATTAAATGAAAACGTCTTGAACATCAGGCACTAACAAACCTGAAACCTCAACTTGAATGTTGAGAGTCACCAATAGAACCCATGTAAAAAGATTCCTGAGAATTCTAGGTAATAACTCTGAGAGTAGTCAACTTTTTCTGCGAATATAACAAATTTATTCAAGTCAGTTGTAGCTGGTCGATTCTACTCAATCGTCAGGACCTGTTTCAAAAACTGGAAAAAATTTGAAATCATTCTGTTAACTTCCGTTGGTCTGAAGACCTAGCAAATTCTACTTCCTGCTACTTCAGTGGAAAGAAGAAGTTTTCCTTACATAAGAAGCTGTTGGTCTCTTCTTATAGAGTCAACAAACTTGTGATTGACTTCACCGCACTTAAAGTACGCAGCCAACTTATCCGGCGCCTTAGAAGCTTCTTCTACAAAAACATAAACTTAGTACCGACGACGCTTAGTGGAGTGCAACTGTGAATTCTATTCTTCACTTATTGAGTCCTTAGACTTTTTCTAAAATTATTCCAGAATTCTGGAGAAAACTTTTTTGCATAACAGGAAGAACAGATTAAAGCAATCTAAGTAGCGGATATCGAATTTCACAAAGCTCCAGAGAACGCCAGGGTCTAAACTAGCATTTTCTTAATAATTGTTTTAAGGAAAAATATTACTCAAACTCTGATCAGTATTGATGTTCATCTCGTCGCCTTTAATTTCAACTTTTTTAAGGTGCTTCCTTCTTGTAACCTTTCACTTAGCCTTTATTCTTCTGTAGACTTTTTCTCGTCTTCGGGATCTCTAATTCATCCCTAATTACGATCCCTAATCTAATGGTTCATCTTGCCACTAAGATGGTTAGGTTCAATTATTTCCGAGACTCTTTCCCTGCTTTTGAATAAAATGATCCATTGATGACATTGTCACGTTATCGCGAAGTATTTTATATTTATAAAATAATATTTTGTAAAGTTCGAATATGAATCCTTATTTTCTTCTAATCAAAGAAAGTATTGATTAGAAATAAATAAAAAATAAAATGCTAAATAAATGTACAGACTGATTAAACACGTTTAACTAAATTAATAACAGATTAATATATAACACTGAAGGGCAGAATCTCACGACAGTGTTATAAGTAAACTGTAATAAATAAATGAATAACCAACACTGAAGGGCAGAATCTCACGACAGTGTGGCACATTAGATGTAAAATAAAATAAAGAATAGCCAACACTGAAGGGCAGAATCTCATGACAGTGCGGCACATTACATGTTAATTAAACAAAAGTATAACCAACATTGAAGGGCAGAATCTCACGACAATGTGGCATACTAAATGTTAAATAAATATAAGAATAACTAACAATGAAAGGCAGAAACTTGCAACAGTGAAGCAAACAAAAGAAATATAACCATTAAATATAGTAATACAAACAATTAAATGATGAAGAAAAGAGAACACTTAATACTTATTCCAAAAATAAGAACATCCGCAACGGTTGAAGAGTAGTCCCAAACTGAGACTCCCACTCGTCAGGTCAGTGACCCGTTAGAAAAATAGAGTGGGGCAGCTACCACCTATTGTGAATCCAAAGTAAGTGAAAAATAAGGTTGACTTGAATAACCGAACCTGACACAAAGGTGATAAAAGTGGGTGGTATGATGTAGTTTCCTTTGCAATAGGACCCTATAAAAGGTGCTACCCTTGCCGAATTAGTCAATCCAGGAATCGCTGCCAAGTTAATTAGTTGTGTACTGCCCCCAAGTGTCTTCTTTGTATTAGTCTAGAATTCACCGTCAAATCAGATACCTGTGTTCTTCGTGTTAGTCTAGCAACCGCCACCAAGTGAACTAGTTGTGTACTGTCATCAAGTATCTTCTTCGACTCCAGTCGCAGTCCAGAAAATCTCTTTAAGTACCTTATCGAGTCTCGTCTTAGTCAACTCCATTCAAGGAGATAATTTCTACTACGAGGCACATTTCTATTTTTCCAAGGACTGCATTACCTCCATATCGACGTCAAATAAATAATTAGGTCACTCTTAGGCTGAGGGGTGTTTTATCTAATTTACATCGTCACCTGGACTCCAAACCTTTCACTTTGGCTGACCCGAAAACAACTCGAGGGAAATCTACTGCATTCTCTGTTTCGCAAGACAATTTCCTCCACCTCAAACTAAGGAGATATGGCTTGTTGGGACTTCGACTCTAAGAATAATTTTTGATCGTTAGTAACTAATACTTTTAAATTGTTTCCCTATTTTAATTCTTGATTGATTCCACAAAGTTCGAATTTTATTTCAGTGTCCCTGAAGACATCTGGATCTACTCTTTCTCTATGATTCTAATTGTAAAGGATTCAACACAAAAACTTTAATAGTTCAATTTCAATTTAACAGTTACTCTTTCTTAAAACCTGTCCCTTAATATCAGAGCTTTACGGTGTGTGTGTGTGAATAAATCAGGTTGGAATCACTGATGCCGGACAATTTAAATATATAATTTGGGATATGTTTAGTTTCTTTCTGAGACACAACATTATTCAGCAGCAGCATAAATTTGACGATGAGAATTCTCAGTAGTAATTTGAATCTATAATGATTCTATCCCTGGGGGTCGATTCTGTAACTTTTGCTATTCCCACTCTCACTTCACACCTTCCACTCTCACTTCCCACATTCACATCCCACTTTCTACTTTCTACTCGTACTTTCCATTTCACATCTTTCACTTTCCACTCTCACTTCCCTGCTTCCACTTCCCACTTTCCCACCATTAGGAGGGAAAAGTGAGAAGCGAAAGTGGTCAGTAAGAGTGGGAAGTGTAAGGTGGGAAGTTGAAAGTGGTAGTAGAAAGTGGACAATGGAAAATGAGGGTGGAAGGTGGGAAGTGAATGTGGACAATGGAAAGTAAAAAAGGAAGGTGAGAAGTGAAAGTGGGAATTGGAAATGTTACAGAATCGACCGTGCTGTTAGTTTTTTTTGCTGTAAGTTAATTTTGATTTCCGGTTAACAAAATAACTCATTTACGAAATTCTGAATTTTAAATGAATGTTCTTTGTACAACCTTTCTGGTAATCTTGGAAAACCTTAAAATCTGAAGCGAACTTTAAGATGACCAAAAATTTTATATTATTTATATTAAATTTATATTTATATTATTTATATTAAAATTTTATATTTTATATTTATATTTATACTGCTATTCATTTAAACAAAAAGCACAAGTAGTAGAATGGAAAAAGAAGTCATATACCGATTACAGGAAAAAAAATCAGAATGATGAGAACTCTGAAGAAATTAAATAAACTATTACAGCTCCATAAGTGAAAACCTTTATATAGGAGGAAAAAAGCAAATTTCTGGAAAACAAGTATAGAATGTTCAAACATTCAAAGGGAAAGAAATCTACTGTAAATTGCAGATAAAAATGGAACAGAAATAAATCATAAAGCAATTTTTTACATTCAATTTTTACCCTCAGATTACATTAAGAGCCACGAAGGAATTACTAACACAGCAATGGTTTGCCCTTTACAAAAATCAAAAACCAATCCATTAAGAATACTGATAACTGTAATGAAATAAAATCCAAGTGTATATTTTTACAATCTGCACATTTTCTAATTACGTGAAATTGGTATTACTTTTTTATCTCCTAATATTGAAAATTACGAGACTGCAATTGCAATTTAATAATTAATTTCACTCAATATAGAAATCAAGTGTACTCTTTTCGGAAAGACCCTTTAATTTTTATTTATAATTTCACTCATACCCATAAGAGCATTGAATTCAAATGTGTCACATAAAGTTTTTTTTTCAAAGTCTACCAGCTTTTTAATTACGTGATGTTGCTTTGATGTTTTTCATACCCATTGAAATGAATGTCAAACAAATATCTCTGTTAGAAATGTATACGTAAATATACTATATATATATGATACAAGTTTTATGTTTTTTTCTTTCTTCTTTACCAAAAATTAGAAACGCAATTTTTCACATTTTTCACATAATAATTACGTGATAAATATAAATTTATTTGAATTCACGCAACGTTTGCTGCAACAATATTCCAAAGGACTTCATGTATTAAAATATTTTAAATCTTTCCTAAAAATATATTTATGAAATATTCAGAAAATGTTATGAGCTGTGTGGATAATTAAAATGAACCTTTTTTGTTAAATATTTACTTTGTAAATTAATTAATATTACATTAAACTTTTATATTTACTGAAATTTTGCTTTGAGATTTTTGTGAAAATTATTATATGCAGATAATTTTAATAAATTTCGAAGAACATGAAAAGAAGGAAAAACAAATATTTAAAAGAAAAATGTTTAACAAAAAAAATCAGTTAACATTGAACATTGCGTCTTCAAGATCAAGCGATGTACACTCGGAAATTTCATTAAACTGCATAGCTAGCCAAGAATGCTCTTTTCCACAAGACTCCCTTGTAAATTACTAAATTTCTCTCACTCCAATTTCAAGGATATTCGGATATCGTACTTGAAGATAGTTGAGTTTGACCCATGCTCTTATTTTTACAAAGGTTTACTTTAATTTTCCATTTACATTAAGTCCTTAATTGAAAGTAAATTAAAATTAGAATTTTTAAATTAAAGTTCGAATTTATAAAGATGTTTAACTTTTTCTATTTACTTTGCTATCTATGAAAATTCTTTCCAACCTTTTAATTGATAAAATGTAATGAATTTTTATTGATTTACTTGTTTTAATATTTTTATTTAGAAATTCTTATTAAAAAATTTTTATTTACATAGGTTTTAAAAATAGTAAATTCCCTTATTTTAATTTATTGAGAATCTAATAAAATTATATTATTTATTCAATGAAAGTAATAATATTTATTCAAGGAGACTTTCTGGTTAATAAAGATTTCAAAAAAATCGATTTTTCTTTTTTTTGCTTTAAAATATTAGGGGAGAGTCTCCAGTTGTGAGACACCTCCAGTTGTGAGACAGTCAATTTTTTTTAACATGTAATATTAAAAAGCCGATTGGTTTATATAAAAACATTTCTTTTTATATGAGCCAACTTTTTCGTGTACGCCGAAGCGGATATATAAACTGTTTTTGTTAAATACCAACACTGTGTGTGATAATCGACTAAAAAGCGTTTTTTCAATAAATGCAAAGTACTTTTTTTCCAAGTTAATTAATTGGAAAAGGTAAATGTAATGCATTTTCTGTTAGTGTTTTCCTTATATTTTGTGATGCAATATTGCATTGTTCCAATCTACGGTTGAAAATAATTTAATTTTCCTTTTTCAAAATAGCGCCAATTTCTGGGTGTGAGACACAGCATATCACCAGTTGTGAGACGGTGTCAACACTCATCTGGGCAGCATGAAAAATACGAATTTGCAGGCATACTATTTAAATGTTGTTTTGATTTTTTTTTCTAGTATTTTTGGGCATGTCAAGTGGAAAAAAGTCAATTGATTCAGAAGAAATCAATTTTAATGCTCTTGTTGAAGCTATTAAATTGTGTTTATTTGATAGTCATATTTTGGCGAATAAATATTATTATTTAGTATACAATAATATATATTATTAATATATTTAATTATTTATACTAAACATAACGTTTTAGGTCAAACTTATTAAATTTTAGCAATTTTTAATGAGTGTCTCACAACTGGAGACATTTTTTTTTTTTTGAAAAAAGCGATGTGCTCGGAAAATGTATCGTAAAATTTTTTGAGTTCATCGAAACACTATACTTTCTTTTAATAAAAGTTGCGTATTTCTGTTACCTTTCGAACGGTGTATTTTATTTACAATTTCGTTTACCCGTTTACAATTTACGGGTCAAAAATGAAACCCGTCTCACAACTGGAGACTCTCCCCTACTTATTATCATAAAATTACTGTATCTAAAATTAATTTTTTGAAACTGACATTAGATTCATATTGAGGGACTTCGAAAACTCCCGGGTAACAAGTTTCAAGTCAATTCCGTTAATTTTAAATTTTCTCGTCCGCCATATTGGATCAGACATTTTGAATTTTGAAAAACAAGTTAGAAAAAGAGAAATTTTAAAAAAGACTTCTTAGCTTTTTATAACATCTACCTTTTTATTTATTTGGTTTTAAAATTTTCTCAGCTTCCATATTTACAGATTTTTCTTTATTAATATTTTTAAAAATTTGGAAAAATGCTTTTTCGTAACTTTTTGGAAAATGTGGCGTTAAAAGCATTCTCAGAAGAACCTTTCTGATGTCATTTACTTGGATAGAAAAAAAGGAGAATAACCTTTTATTTGAGACGAACGTGTACATAGACGGTGACATGATTTTGCTTTCAGATTCATGAGATATATATGTATATATTTTTTCCCATCTATAAGATACAAAAACTTGAAGAAAAATACTATTTGTAACTTAGCAATAAAAGGTGTCATATTTGCCAAGAAATAAATCGAAAATTGAGAGGCATGTCGTATAAGTAACGAAGAGTTTTAATATTTTATAACCATTGTTGGCGAAAGTTTCTTTATATATATATATATATATCTGTGTGCAAATTTTTTTCTCTCCATGAAATCATTCTACATCGTAAAAAAAAGATTTTTTTTTACAGTCTTACAAATATTTATACCGAGTGCAATTGCGCTTACCATGTACAAAACGGATTTACACAATGAAAAAAATATATACTCGTATATTTCAATAATTTTAATCAAGAGTATATTGTGAAAAGAATTTTCCTTGAATTTAAAAGCTGTGTAAATATAAAGCATAAATAATAAAAAAATGAAAAAAAATTTTCACATACAATTTTTACAATTTTCATAACAAACATTTTTTCAAAGTTTAATAATTAAAACGAAATATGTTTTAAAAAATATTTTACTTTTTTTTGCTTATGTTCCTCAATATGCATTGAAAAAATTTGCCATAAAATTCAAAGAAGATTATATACATTATAAATAAAAGAGTTTGAGATATATATAAGTAGGAGTCGCATTAGTAATGAATTTTCGTGAAAAACTCTCGAAAAGAACATTAAGAAGTGAAATCTGGCACGTTAGAATTCCCCATTCTCAAATCCATGGGATTCATTTTTAGATACTGGCAATAATTCCAACAGATAAGAGGAAATCGACTAACTCCCGCTCTTATCTTCGACTTAACTTTCCGACAATCAGTGTTTTTCTAACTGTCGTCGAGAAATTGTGTCGATTTATTTTTATTGTCTATTCAATATTTCGTTTTTTTATTCCTTATATACAATACAGAAAAGACTCTTTAAATTTTATATTATTAATTTTCGTTTATCTCTAGTAATAATTAATGTAAATGGGAAAATGTTTTATTTTAATGCTATTTAAAGTAAATTGATGTAAATCATATTTAAAATTTGTGAAAAGTGTAAAAAAATAAAAAGAATTGTTCAATCTTAAACTGTACAATAGTGAATAATATTTTTTATTATATTGGTTTATTTTATCGAATAGTGCTAATTATAAGAATATGAAATTTAACACTGGAATAAAAATGGATAAGTTTATAGGTCGAATTGAAGAAATTGATGAGTTTGATAAAGAAATTGAAGAAGAAAATAAACTCAAGAAAGGTATTTTAAATTTTTAATATAATTGTACTTTAAAACAATTCTTATCAATTAGTGATAAAAATATAGATTCGTGAAATAATTGTATATATTATTGTATAAAGCTTATTGTTTAGATAGAAAATATCCTCCTTATTATTCTACTATAAAATTTATGAATTTATAATCAAACTATAATTCGTATGATTAAATTACTTAATTGCTAAAATCTTTCATATTTAGATTCTTATTCAATAAGAATGAAGCGACAGTAAAAGTGAAGTGAGAGTAAAGTGAATGTGGTGGTGAACATAAATGTTTTAATTTGGTTGGAGACTTTATTGATCTAAGCAGAGTTGTTAAAAATTAATCAAATCTAGTAAAAAAAAATTTAATGTACCTATATTTTGAAATATGTTTATTTATTGTTATAAAATAAATAAATAAAATAAAAATTTTCTATTTCAGAAATACCATTTCAAGTGAAAAATTACAATTTTAAATTGATGTTGAATTTTTATGGTTTGCATTTTAAGGATTATACTAGCAGATTCAATATATTAAGAAGAGTAACTAGTATTCTATCGCTCGTAAAAAAGACACCTATGTATGAGATAATTAAGAACTTTAAGGCACATTGGATAAAAGCAATCTGCTCGATGGAATTTTGAACGATCATAAATCTTTGTCAAGGCTGTAATCGTAAATAGGGTTGAGAGCCACTGCAAAACGCGATTCTATTTACTACCACGTGCACTACTCACCGCAAGCACTTATTTTTAAAAGCACAGTACATTCACTTAAATAAAAAAGTATATATGTGCAATATTCAATACATCGAGTAACTGTATCGTCTACTCTATTTTTAAAGTATATATGTATATTCAATTCCTCTTTTTTGCATTAAGAATTTGACGCTCAAAATAAAAAGGTACTATCTCATTTTGAATTTGTATTAAAATTCAAAGTTTTTTAAAAATACAGGAAAAAAATGTTTATAAATTATATTTGCCATTTAGAAAATTCAATTGAAAATGAAACTATGAAACTTTTTGAATTTTTAGAAAATAAAGGGAAAAATTGTATTGAAAAAAATGTTCTGTTAAATTTATTTAAAAATATTTTTAATTGTAAAATTATTCGAAAACAATCATTTCTTTTTTAAATATTTTAAATATTTAATTATTATTATTTTTCCACAGGAATTAAGATTTTCAAAAATTTTAAATTCATACCTTTTTGAAATTATTTTAACTTTAAAAAAAATTGTTATAAAACATGAGAAAATCGATCACTACGAGTCGAAGACTCGAAGTGATCGATTTCCTTATGTTTTATAAAATTAATTAAATTTTATTCAATTTAATTTTATTCCTGTTAATCTGTTCGAGTTAAAGAAAATTAAATTTAAAGATTATAGAATTAAATCATCTAAAAGTGAGAGAGAGAAAAGATAAGGAAAAAGTACTGAGAAATGTGAAATAAGAAATTAAAAGGAGATTTTACCGATAAGTCACGATTACGTGATCAAATGAAGTAGAGCGACGTGGTTCCAAGAAAATGTACTTTTTGTATTAAGATTTTATACCTAATTATAAATTTCATTAATACGGAATCTACAGAAAAAATTACTTTTCTAGAATTTAAGGAAATTCTTTAATATAATATTTAATCTTTTGAAAGAATATTCTACAAAAAAAATGTATTCTACAATTTCGTAAAAACAAATTTTAGCAAAAAGTTTCATTAAATTTGAAATAAAATTTTAGAATTATCGTCGAGTCTTAAAATTAAAATAAACTTCTGTCGCCTAATTTATCTATGGTCATCTATTTAGAACTGAATTTTTTTTAACATTACGAAATTAAAAATTAAAGAAATTTTGAATGTAGAATAGCATACTCTGTCTAAAAGTAAAATTTTAAATATTCGTCCATAAATAAAAAATTTATTTGCTAGCGTATACACAGTATGTGTTCATTGATACACATTTTCAACGAAGAGACCAGTATATAATCAATAACATGAAATTATCAATTTACTCGAAACCTATACACGTACAAACATTTATATAGAGCAGCACATCGCGAAAACGTGACCTTTACTACCATAGTGTTAAAATTGTTCAAAATAATTTGAACTTTTACAAATTTTTTTCACTGATTCGTGAATAATCCTTCATAATTATGAGTTACAATAAGCCAGTTGGCACACTTGTGTGACGTCATCGCGACGTATTTGATATTTATAAAATAATATTTTGTAAAGTTAGAATCTGAATCCTCCCTTTTTCTTGTACCCCAAACACCTCAATTCAAATGTGTCATCTTGAGCAGACTTTTCTATATATGGTCATCCACGATTGTCACCCTTCTATGAGGTTACTGAACTGTCTAAAACAGTGACCAATCAATGCAGTATTGATCCGAAGAAGTCTTTCTCTGATTAGCGAATGCCAAATATGGTCATGGCTATCTTGTAATTTTTCTATTGATTCCCTACTTACATGTGATACAACTTTTATCACTTTAACCCAGAGGTAATAAAAGTGGGTAGTAAAACATAAAATTCCCCTTGTGGAAGGAAACTATATAAGGGTCCACCTTCGCCGAATTCATCAGTCCAGGAAGAGCCTTCAACTTAAATAGACCCAAGTAACTCTCGAATCAAAAACCCGCGTTCTTCGTTAGTCCAGAAATCGCCACCAAGTTAAGAAGTCGTGTATTACCCCCAAGTATATTCGTCCAGGAAGAGCCTTCAACTTAACTAGACGCAAATCACCACTTCGCGTCTTATTTGTATCAGTCCAGAAGTCGCGACCAAGTTAACAAGTTGTGTTTTGTCATCGAGTTTATTCTACGACTCCAGTTTTAAAAATCCCTTCAAGTACCAAGTGCATTCTTCAAGTCTCAATCAAATTCATTCAAGGAAAATTCATACGAGGAGATAATTCCTAATGCGACGCACATTTCTATTTTACTAAGGACTGCATTATTTTGACTTCAACATCAAATCAATAATTCGACACCTGGACTCCGGACCTTCCACTTTGGCGGCGCTGGCCCGAAAACAATTTGAAGGAATCTACTGCATATTCTGTTTCTGCTAGACAACGTCATTGCTTCGACCTCACACATTCTCATTCTAATTGTAAAGGATTCAAATAAAAACTTTAATAATATAACTTAAAGTAAACAGTTACTCTTTCTTAAAACCTGTCCCTTGAAATCAGAGTGTTCGACTCTGTGAATAAATCAGATAATGAATCACCGATGCCGGACAAATTAAATATATAAATTAATATTATGTTTAGTTTCATTCCTGAGACATAACATTTGTTCAAAAGACGTCGTAAGAATGTTTTTTGGACTTTGACAAAAGATTTCTTTCATATGTCCTAAAAATGTTCTATCTGTTGGCCATTATATAGATTTCTTTATGATGTCTCAAAGACGTCTTTTTGTTTCAAACTTTTGATAATGGAAAAATTTTCATTAATAGATAGTATTATTTCCTAAGTTCAACTTGGAGTTAGAAACTGAAGATAAAAGTAATTGGAATTTTACTAAGTTAGATTTATTAATTTTTCTAGGCGAGTAGACGTTACAAGTATATGTTTAAATATTCTAACGTCTACTGTCCGGTCATTAGAAAATAAACCAAACTTTTAGCTAATGGCTTAATTTTTCTATCGGTCTACGACATATACAAATTGTTATTTTTGTTATAAAAAATATAACAAAATTAAACAAAATGAAATTTTCACAAAAATCCAAAAGATATAATACACAATTCACTAGTTATAAAAAAATTGAAATGGCTTCACTGTAAAATTTTCTTAAAATTGCACTATGTTTATTTCAATTGAGAATTGAAAAAGAAAATAAAAGAAAACTTTCGTACTTACTTTACTTTTTTAAGATTTCACTCTATAAAACTTTAGTATTACGAACAAAAAAACAAAGTCGACTATCAGACGCGAATCACATCAAACACTGTTATTAAAAGGGTTGTATGTACTACAGACTTTATGCAGAGTTGGGTAGTTACATGTAATTTGAAATAGTAATAATATATTCTGAAACAGGATTATTATACTATTAAAACTTTACTTTTAAATATTAAAGATTAATAACACTAGTTTACAAAATTTAATAAAAATTCTGACCCGCAGCATTTCACTGTCCTTTCTTATGTAAAATTTTCCCCCGAATCCGAATATGAAGTCAGATATTAAAAAAGTAGAACAGTTTTCGAGATATAGCTAAATTTTAATTTTTTGAGTTTTGACAAAAAGTGTATTCACTAATTTCTTTTTCTTTAAATTTTCTTTGAAGCAAATGAAAGGTAATTAAATTTCCCATAAAAAAGTATTTACAACATTTTTAATTGGACTGACGGTTTGGTTGCTATTTATAAATTTGTTTGGAATTTCTCATTATTTTTAACAAAATTTTAGAAAATGATTGACTTTTTTGGTTAATTACGTCATAAAAAACGTGTTTACTTTGGGTTATCTTTTTTGGACGTCAATGTACAATTTCTTAGGAAGAAAATAAGCCGTTGCCGATAAAAATTGAACTAAAAATATAGAAGATATAATCTTTTAAGTAAAAATACAGGAAATTAGCTTTTACCCAATTTTACGATTTATTAACGACATATCGTATGGTTTAAGGTTTTAAAAAATTTTAAACATTAAAAGTGTCTTGAATTCGATTTGCACTGTTTTTTATGGATATTATCTGTTTCTCGAATAAAAAACCAACAAAAATTTTGACTTCGAAAAATATTATTTTATAAATGTAAAATATTAATACGTCACGATGAAGTGACAATAAATATAATAAAATACAGTGAATTAACTTTTTCACTCCATTAAAATATAATTTAGTACATATTATTTTTACTATTGCAAAATTTATATTAATTAAAAATTCTCTATATTAAAAAGAGAAATTTATACTTTCATGTTGAAGTTAAATTATCTTTTTCAAACGCTCATCACACGTCATGTTAAGTCA